GTTAACGGCCATTTCAGAAACAAACTCTAGATGTATTGATGTTTGTATTTTTGCTTTAAAGCGTCACGTGACGAACTTGAACGTCAGACAGCTACCGAATTTCGTATAAATAAACTGTATTTTTAAAATTACCCATGTCAAACTGTAACGCTTTAAAACGACTTCGGACCCAACATCAGTTGTCATAGAAACGATTATCTTCAATCACATATGCGTAATCTACCAAACTCGTTCATTTTCCATTACTGAACCATTTTTGATGTCGCTGGGTGACCAGTCTCCTTTGGATTATGATTTGCAGTAAACTGAATAATTACATTATTTCGTCACATACAAGATTACATTCATTTCGTCACGTGACATTTTCAATAACGGAAATACGAAAGTACTTTGAATTAATAGTACGTTCCAGTAATACAAATTGATAGTGGTGTCAAACGAATGCAATTCTTTAACGTGAAAAAAGCAACTGTTTTTACTGACTTTACGATAAATTTTATATTTTGGAACTAAGCACACAGATATAAAATATAATCATCCATATTGCCAAAGTATATAAACATTAAATGTCATAAAATTTATCCAGCATGAAAACAAACGTTATCATGTTGAAGCCGAAGTGTTCCTAGCCGACGTTTTCCTATCCAATAGATTACCATATCTTCAACTAATGTTTCTAAAACTTTAACTTTCTCAAATCGGCTCAAATTTGTAACTGGGTGGTGACTGTTAGCGGTGACGGCTGCACAGGCGGGGCGGGGGGTGGTTGCCCCTCGAAAAAAACGTTGTGGGCATCGTCCCTCCAAAATCAAGCTGAAACCCTTAGTGTAAGCAAAACTTGCCCCTCAAAATGCAGGAAGTAGCCTTTCAGAGGGTCTAGATTTCAAAAATGTGTAGGTGGAGCATGCCGCGGACCCCCCTAGTAAGGTTGCGACTTCGGCGCAAGGTTGGCTAGCAGATTCCCCCATGCGAAATCTACTGTGTTCATTCCGTCAGTATAAACATGATGTCTCAAGTAAATAAGTAAGTTTTCTACGAAAAATTAAACACGAAATGTTTCAAAAATGTTAAGCGTTGTTGAAACAGAACATCGTCGGGAATTACGTCAGTTTTAATAGTTAATTAAGAAAAAACGAAATTGTACCAAGTCCTTGTAGACGACCTTATTTGTGTTTAGAGATTCCCTATAATAAGATTTGTCGGCGTCAAAAAACGTATATTACAGATGTCGAAAAATTATTGAATCACATTGAAGCAATATAATTTTGTTTTATCGGGGATAATGTTGATTTCATCTAGACATTGAGAAACCGACAGGCGCATTAAAAGTAACATCCGGTCGCACTCAGCCTAGCGCTCCTGCCTAGTTTGATACCGTGGGAAACGCTTTGTAACGAGGCGAAACTTATTTACCTCTATTGTGATATCCGACTTTATTATTTGCCCAAATATCTCGTTAAAACATTGTCGCCAATTGTTTAAAAAGATCCCGGCAAAATTGTCGAAATTACAAGCGCACAAAGAAGGGGATTGTCCGCGGGAACAATGAAACGATGCCGGCTCGTGCGGTTTAAATAGAGATTGTCCCCACTCAGTACTTGTTTCCTCGATGACGGTTGAGTGCGCATTATTAAGAGAGACACAATAATTATAACAGTTCTCTGTGTCGATTTAAAAAGATGTTAAATTGAAAAAAAATGAAATAGTGGTCTTAGCATATGATTGTGAGTCCAATCCGTTGTGTGACTCATTTTGATATGTAAATCCGTCGGTGTGGGAAAGTGCGTGGCTCGCCAGTCATCTCCATTTTTTTAGAAATGCCCAGCTGTATTAAGTACTTTGATACAGAAAAGGCGACATTCCATCCTTTTTAATATAATTAAAAAATAGTTTTTCGAATTATTTTCCCCGTTCTTAATATATTCACGATTCGAGTAATACACGTAAGCACTGGGCCGGCCGGTTCCTTCATTGTTCTTGTTTGGCATGTTTACAACAACAAAAATCGTGGGGAATTCTTATTAAAACTTGTACAAAATGTCAAATACTGTCTGTTTCTTAATGGAACCAATAAATACATAAAATTAGAACAAAAAGTTGACGGGAAAGAGTAGAAAACTATTTATGTGATAAAAGTGAAATAAATAATTTTAACCCAGTTAGAAACAAAAAAAACGAAAAACGGAGATAGTTATATGAAAATGACTTGTCGCAATTCAAATATGCCTTAGAGGCAAATCATTTGAAATCATGGGGTGACTTAAATGGTGTGACCAGTGTATTTTATCTGTACATTGTTATCTTCTTGAATGTTTCACTAAAATATCTTCCGTGCATTTTTATATATCTTGAAATGCCTCCCCCAATGATTTCAAATGGCCAACTCCTCATGCATTACCCCAACAAAGATCACACACACATCCCGGTGGGTTGTAACGACATTTTATCGATCATTACATTTGGGGGCATGCATAATATAAGGTTATTACGATGATACCTCAAAGTATGCACGAAGACAGTACAGCGGGAGTATCAACCGACGCGCAGCGAGGTGTACTGTCTGGCTGCATACTTTGAGGTATCTTCGTAATAACCTTATTATTATACTTCTTTTCATCCCAACGATACATTATGGGTATGCCGAAATACAGTAAGTTTAAAACAGAATCAGCGAACTTGTGTGGAGTCCGGTCAAACCCTGGTGGCAGCCATGTTTGTTTTTATTATTAGAGGACTCTTACGCGCGTAATCATTCCATTTTTGGAATTCGCATTTCCTAATATGGTAAAATGAAAATAACCCGTAAAATACCGCAAAATTACGGCACGTTGTAACTTATGGCGTTACGGTGACAGATGTATAATAATGCCAATTACTTTATATTTTTTCATCGATTGATTGTTGAATTGTATCAAAAATGTAGTAGTATTATTAATGCTGGTGATTGTTTTTGACTCAATTGGAATTTATTTATTGTCATAATACAAGTACATTCGTATCAGACGTCGATGTGATATCATAAGCGTATAAATTCCACTGCAATTGAAAGGTAGACAGCCAATCCACATAATGTGTTATATTCTCAGGCTTGCCGTGGAGAGATAATTGGTGGTCATAGTCGTGATGAGTCATACGGGGATCTCTTCAAAAGTTGCTATAATATATCATGAGTCTAGATATTTGAAAGTCCATCACAAACATTTAAGGTAAGCAAAATAGTTTGTGGATTACCAACCTCAGTTATATGTATGTTGATCTATGTTCTGGATTGTTTAACGCTGTGAATCGCAAAGACACAGTTACCGTGAAAACAGTTCGAGCACCGAGTTCATACAGTTGATGATGCCTACAACATCTGAATTCATCACATATGTTGCATTAGTGGAGAAACGAAACAACAAGCTTGCGTCACCAGCCCCCTCAACATTTTGTACAGTTTCCTGTGTTTTTCTTTGTTAATTTTGGAAATAATTGACAGTTTCCAATTTTTACATCGTTTCCATTTATATATATATATATATATGGGTTTATCTGTGAACCACCCCAACAAAGGCACTGTGGTTCAACAGATTGATCAGCAAAAGTTTATTTATTTGCTCTTTGTCAAGAAGAACAATTCTTTGGTAGCGCTGAATCACGTGACAATAAGCACCACCATTTAATGTAAATTTCGATTTGATTTTACGCCGGGTGGCTGTCACGTATGTCACGTAGCTACGATGAAGTGGACCACAGTCGGACAAGTCCACCAGTCATTGATTTGCTAGCTACCGGGTACTGACTAAACATGGGAGAAACCATACGGTTATAAACGATGTGTCTTGATACAACACGAGATACACGTCATATTTGCATCCCATGGTTAAATGTCAAATTGTAACGTTGTTCTTGATTCATACTTGTTCTGTCTATAGTATTCAATATAATTACAGAAGATGAGAAGATTTATCCGAAATTATCTTTTTTTTTTCTTATCACTGTGTTGTCCTTGACAATTACTTCATTACGTAAATTTCCAGTGTTGGTTCTATTTGACAGTTCCGAAATAGTTTTAGTTTTTTCTCGCATAGTTTCGTTCAGTAACTCAGTCTATTAATATTGAGATAAAACAAACACACGTGTTTTCCAGACCGATAAGCAATTTTGTGTTCGCAAATTTCTCGGTGTGCAAATATTATCATTGCCAGCGTAAAGCTGCATGGCTCGCCGTGCACGTAACTGAATTACTAATGTCATGTGAGATAATTTTTATCATCCAAGGCTGACTAATTTGTAAAATAAAAGATTTGCTTCGCCACGGACTCGCCGCCCACTATAATTAACGACCTGTCGAATGTAACTGGCTCAGTTTGTTCCCCTTTTTTGTTAGGGACGTTTCCACCAGATGCCTAACTCAGGCTGTTTCAAGCAAATTGTATAGCGCCCTCATTTTACGCTTCGTTGTCATGTGGCCGGGAAGGTGCAGTCACTGTAAAACTTGTTTTTTTCTTTGAAGACTTTTTAATCACATTGACACGTGTAGCTGTATTACACGCGACCATCACCACTCTATAATGTACGTATAAATTAAAACGTTGTTCAAAGGCACGTCACGAAAGAAAGACACGTCTCGTGGGACGTTGGTTTAATAGCTCGTTCGTACTGTATTGTAAAGTGAAAACGATTCTTATATTTGGGTGGAGTACTAGTCAGGCATCGTGCGAAAAAAATGTGTTTTATCTTGGTAGGCGGGGGTTACGTGGGTGGAAGGCGTACATCCAATAACGTGTATACATTTATAACAAAATACGTAACTATCTATTTTGATTCTTCTTTTCCACATTACGCGCCGGGATTAATTTCCAATCACCGTGTTTTTTTTTTCAAATCATGTAAGGGCGGTCAGAAACTCCTTAAAATAACGTGGGGATAAGGGAATATTGTTGGATTGTTGGAGCAAACTGACTTGCCATTCACTATACAACATACATCAAGAAACAAGATGATAAATAAAACACCGGTTTTAAATATTTCATTTTTTTAATGAAAGGTTTCACAAACCTGTACAGTAATTTACATATAACAATCTTGCATAGACGGGGCTCATCGGAGCACGTGCTCAAAAAAGAGACGCCCTTTTTAAAACTGGTCCTCTGTTTCAACCTCTGCCGAAATTACTTTTTTCTATAATAAGTCAGTTTTCTAATTTCTCTCAAATGAATAAAATGTACAATGTCTTAATTGTGTTGGAGGATACGCTGTTATACCATACCATTTATTGCATCTTTCTTTGGTTTTACAAAAAACGTGGTAGTTGTAGATGAAATCAGTTGGTTGGACCAGTGCCGCAACTGATCCACATTATATGCGTGACAGTTAGGGAACTACATCACATAGAAGTATCCTCCAAAAATGAGACTGCCAACCAATCTAACATAAATCACGCTTAGTCCGTGTAGCGTTGGCAACTACGAATAATACAGCTTCAAGCTTTAGCTGTTTGGCAGCAAACAAATGAACTAGAACAAAAGAATAAATAACTATAAAACAAATTTCAAACATAAATTCTTGTTAACTATGTACAAGAAAAGGATTTCAGATAAGGCACCTTGAAGCCTGTTCGTAGAAAAAAAACAAATCACGCATTATTTAATAAAGAAAAACAATTATCAAAATATAAAGATTGTCTTTCATATGCTTGGTACTCAAGGCGATAAGTTTCGTACAAAACATCATATATTCATAAAAAAATAAAAGTTTGTGTCTTGGCAAGTTCTGTCAGTGGAGCTAAATTTATAATGCGATTTTAGCATTAATTGGCCAGGTTCCATGAACGTTGACGATGTTAAATTGTGACGTCAGAGAACTTTAGTTATCACGTGTTCGTGGAGGTTGGCCGACTTCAAATTTGCAGCTTATATTTTCCTCAATATAAGTCCTTGTTGTGCTCCATAAGACGTTGAGCGGTGGAGGGATGTAATAAATTATGGTCATTTCAATGGTACAAATATCGGTGGTGAGATTTCGCCTGCTTCCCCGGTTGTCCTGAAACACGGACACCATAACTGACGATTGTTGACGTATTTGGTACAACAGATATTGCAAATAGGTCACGGCCTGGCGCCGTGCAGTGTGTCCAATGGCACAGAAACTGCACAAGTTCCGCTATATGTGTGTTCAGTAAACAAGTTCCGATCCCCACGGTCTGTACGGTTTTGACACAATAGTATGTGACGTTGGGCTGAATCCGTTAGGCGATAGTACTGGTAGTGTGCTCACTGACATGGGGAATTGCGTGTGCACGGCAGGCATTGACGACAGAAGCTGTGGTGATATCTGCGCCGTACAGCTTGTACTGGTGACTGAAGACGGCATTCGAAGGTGGCACGAGGTTGGTAGTGATGCTGTGTCTGGTCCCTGACTTGTCATAATTGGCTGTCTCATAGGTTCTGAGGTGGCTTGTATAGGAGCTGCAGGTGGTATCGACAGATGTGGGTCCGTAGGATTGTTGTGTTGGCTTATTACGGTGGTGGATGTGAACTGGCTGTGATGGGATGAAACGTTATTCCAGGCCTGTCTGCGTTGTGCTTCTTGCTGTGCTGAGTAACACTGGAGATGGCTCATCAAACGGAGACGCAGGGGGTCTTGGATGTCCAACCCTTCAACGGTTACTAGGTAACGAGCAACTTCCGCTGCACACTCTCTGAATCCAAGGGCTCGGTAATCCATAGCGTAGGCATGCGCGTCACCATAAGGATGGAACGACCCATCGATACCTGTTAATGAGAGGAAAGAAAATATTAGTCATGTGTCAAAAGTACAGCAAATACCGTTCCCCATCTTATCATATCTATCTTTATCTATGCAGTTTACAGAACATAATTTGATATGTGGAAAAATTGTTCAACAAACAATCTACTCTCTGATTGGTAGCTGTTAGGACTGGGTAGCCAATCAGGCGTGATCTTGTAGATAGCTTTGCATTGACTTCCACAGTTTATGCTGGAGGCAGGTGCCAACACTCGACTTGCTTAGACAGAAAACAAGAACCGGAGCCCGTTTTCATTACCATATCGTTAACGAAAATAATCTTTCTGTTTTCCATCAATGCCTCAAATGTGGGCACGTTATATTTCAGATCTGTACAGGTGGGAGCCAGAATAGAATGTTCCCCTGTCATAGATCTGGGCAATGTATCTCGGTCAACACACGAGCAAAGCATTGAACGCACTGCCAGTATAAAAGACCATAGCATGAATAGCAAATGAGCCTTGTCAACACAGTGCCTTGTCATTTCCGTATTCAAAACTAATTGCGCGATCCCCATTCATTCGCACAAGCCTGTGTACTTCTAATGTATTGTTTCCGGCATTTTCTCACGCCCGTAGTTTGCTGGCTGGCTGAACTGTACTGCACGCCACTAGAACGCCTATCTCCTTGAAACCTCCGTTAAGAGGGTGCAGGTGACTAATAAAACTCATTCTATTACTTAAAAATTAAAATAGTGATAATACTTACAAGCTCCTTTAGCATGAAGCATTTTCAGGTGGTCGACCGTCATTTGCAATATCTCGGCCTTTTCCAGCTTAGCAGAGCCCTATTGAAAACGTAAACAAAGAACAAAGTAGGCGTTAGTCATATATATATATAAGAACGCGATTTAGTATTTTTCTCACAAAAAACAAATCAAAGAGATACCATCCAAGACTGTATGATATATTCCCCGCACGCACGAGTCGCCCTCCCACAAACTGTCTATAGAATTTTTTTTAGATTGCGGCATTTCAGAAAAACATGATGATAAGGTTCCTCGTTAGAGAGTTATTTATTGAAAATATGTGTTATCCAAAATGTTTATAAAACTAAACAATATAAATGTCCATTATTAAAATTGTTTTTACCTGTTTTTCGAATGCCGCAGGCACGAGCCGGCGCAGCTCCGACAGACTGTTGTTGATTCTGTCTCGCCGTCTCTTCTCGATTATCTGTTGAAAAAAAAAAGAAAAGAAAAAATAATTAAAAAATGAAGTAAAAGCACGATGTACGCCGGACAACATCACATCCCAATCATGGAGGATAAATCCGTCGCCATGGCGACAACACACAAAAGCCTCGCCAGGTTCGTCGATCAAGTACGAGTTGACATGCGACACCCCTATTGTATAGTGGAGTGGCGTGTTGCTCGATTCCACTTCCTGGACCCGATCAGCTGATTGCTTCGTTGAAAGAACGCCGCCCGAGCACACACACACACACGCCCGCCCGCCCGCCCGCCCGCGTGAGTGTGGAGGGGGGTGAAATACCATCGGTGCTACGTCAGCCATTCCTACAACTTGTAGAACGTCACTTCTATTTGCCATGACTATCGCCACTTCTATTGCCGATTGGGAATACATGCATGCTACGGTTACATGGTATGTGGCATGCCTGTTCCGGTCGTTCAATTGTGGCTACAGTACAAGTATCGAGTTATTCCAGCCATCGAACGTAAACATTGAATCCGCGTGCAAAGTAAACCAAGTTAAACTGTTGATAACCGAAAACCATAATAATGATATTTCTCCGGATGTATACTTGTTATTATTATTAATAATAATAATAATAAATAGCGGAAATAAACACTTACCCCGCGTCGTTTTTTCCGTGACGCCAGTGGACATGACTGACTCGGTGAGCTGTAACGGCAAAAGAAAAAACTCTGATTACAATATGCCACACGCAAGCGTTAAACATCAACACATTAAGACCCATTTCAGAGCGCCTGCACACGTGTCTTAAAAATTGTAGCAAGGCAACAATTTTTTAAAAAAATATTTCGAATTTGGTTTTCTTACCTCTTGTTCATTTCGTCGAAAATGTCCTCACTTTCTGTTTCACTAAACGTCCTCTTCATTTTCGTAGTGTGTTTTGGTTAGGTTCTCGGGAGCGATCAGGAAGTACGTGTTGACTCGTTCGTCTTCTCCTCTCAAATGCTGTACTCTATTTCCCACGCTTGGAGCTCAATAAAAAAGTTCGAGTGTGTGAAATTCACTCCTACCCAGCGGGGCAACGTCAATGATTGACAGGTCATTTGCTGGTCGACATGCCATGTTGTCAATTTCACGCGCCTTGATTGGTTCACGCATGACCAGGTGATCGGTCATCGTGTGGACGGTTTCAAGAGACCCAACTAGTATGGCCCCATATGGTCGCGTGCCATCCCTTTAGGACTCAGCTAATCGTTAATGACGTCGGGGGTGAGTGCACCATGAGAATTTGTGTGCAATAGACGTTGTCAAAATGGAGCTGAAAAATCGCAACCAAAATATTTCATTTCAACGCAGAGCATATATAATACGGGGCGAACTAGACTGAATAAATTCAAAGCTCACGTTCTTCAGGTTATCAAAGGTTTTTTCTTTGTCTGGCGGCTTAACTGTCACCCGTTCATAATGAAAAGACCCGCCGAATGTGGTGGGGACCATGAAACCGTGTATTTCCTAATAGACGCGCGGCATGCACGCGCTCTATCGTGGGAACCTACACAGCTATAGAAAATTGGCCAATGACAAGACCGCTGGCCGACTTTTTTGTTTGACAAGTACTTTTCGCTTCACCGATCATCGGTCGGATTTTACCGTGTGAACGTTCTACCGAGCTATGGAAAACTTCTGATTTTAACGGATCCTAATATTGAGGGGCAGGGAAAACGGTTGGGGGAATTCGAACAAGGAACAGGGTAGCGTTTGTACAGCATGTCTATCGCCGGAACGCCGGGTCGTTCGGCACTTCCACGGTTTTTATCCAAACTATGCCAAGCATGGACCTTTCAACGCCAAATTCTTTAAAATCATTACAAAATTCTGTTTAATAACCCCACGTGCCAGCCTGGGTAACACCTCACATTCCCGGGTGGGTGGTGTACAGGGGGAATCAAGCACCAGATTGTGTGTAAACACAGTATTTTCGCTGAGGGAAAACGTTCCCACGGTCGGCTGTTTGTTTATTTATTTTTAGCTCCACGGCCCAAACACACGTGACAAGGCAGAATTGGGAATAATTGCTAACAGGCGGCGGTGTGTCATTGAGTAGGCCGGCCGATCAGTCTGTGTATCACTCTCTCAACGCCACTTTAGTCGTGTGTGCGCATAATACTATGCAGACGGTGGAAACGCTCTTCTCAGCTGGTTCAAGGCACTCAACAAGACGATGCTTGGATTATTCAAAACTCGAAGCTGTCCGAAACATCTCGTGTCCCAGTTCCGTATCTTGTTCATGTACTTGATAGTAAGTACGCTTGCTCCTCGGGCGATCTAAAACTAGCTTTCTCACAGTACGTTTACAAAGATTATCGAGGGGTGACAATAAAGGGGGCGTAGCCAAAGACAAACACGCATAAATACACCATGACTCGAAATAAAAGTGCACTTTTATTTGTAAAACATTGTGATTGTTGTTGTTTCAGTGGGTAGCTGTCGAGACAGCGACTGATACTCATCAATACTGTTACCCTCTTTCATCGCACTGAGTATGAACGTTGGGCAATAAAACGCGACACACACTGAATGTGTATGGGACACAGTGACGGACACTTGGCACTCTACCCTCTCTGTCATCGTCCACACCCATCGACTCTTGGACAACTGTCCAGATAATTAGTCTACGACGTGCTCCACGGGTGCATTCATACATTGACACCCTACTCATGTAAATCAGAGCAAATATACAGTATGGTTTATTAAATACTTCCGCTACAAAATCAGCAATTACCATTCAAATAAAATAAAGTGTGTGTTTGTTATTATTTTCAGAACCACCAAACTGCGTGTATTGTATTTATATACGTTTAATATTATGTTTATTTCGGCGTCATTCAAGTTCACATTGTATCTCAATATCAGTTTCTCATCGTGTTGAACCAATGTTCCGAATAGAAAATTTTCGGTGATCAGCGAGTCTCTAGTTTCCTATTCAAGTGTTGTCTATTTCTCTACTCAGTTGAAATAGGCGGTTTCTAGACACTTCATCATACATTCAAATGACGATGACTCATTCAAATAGTGTTTCTTAGAGTCAGTAACAGCGATGGGGAAGAGTTGTACATTTAACGAGAGGATGCTGAAAACACGACTGTTCCGAATAACGAAAATGAGATGGGGGAATTAAACTGAAGCCTAATAAAACCGAATGAGGTATTAACTAGTGCGTCTGTTTGACAAAAACAACACTGGCGATACGGAAAGCGACTCGCGTGTGCCTGATAAGAGACATGTGTTAGGTGTTGATATCATAATTGGCCCGGAGGTCGCTCTCCACTCAGGCCACTGGACACGCGTGCGCGTGACCGATAATCTTTACTAACAACCGTGTTTATAACACAGTATGACTAAACCGCAAATTGCTGTATGGTAATGGACACATTTCACCCAGTCGTGGTAGATAAATGAATGGTGATATTTTCTCGTCGACGTGGGTATTTTTCTTAGAATATCAAATTGCACATTTTAAAAAAAGAAATCCGGAAATACTGGCATGTTATGTTCTATTTTAAAAGTGGGGGGGGGGGTACGTCACGTGGAAATTTATTGGTCCTTAATTCATTTTAGTTTCGATGTTTTATCCGTCTTAACTGTCTGTGAAGCTACAACGACGACGACTCATATAATCTACTAACTGATGTCGTGTGAAATGTTTGATCCCAGCAACTTTATGCATTTCATCAACGATTTCTTTCTCGTTTAAAACTGAAGAGCATTTGACTTGTATGTAGCTTTAGTCGCATACAATTTTTTACGCATTAAAGTTTAAGAAAATGTTCAGTTCATAATATGATATGTATACACGTTTCCACTGTTCCATGGAAGTTGACATTTAATTTCCAGTCCTTCCAATTCGGGTACATGTATCTAGAGAAGTCCTAACATGTTTGGACATTTTTTTGAAGTGTTGATCGGGCGTAGGACGTAAATCATAGGGGTCATCCATTAGTCTGAAATATTTTAACTGATTTCAATAAATAGATCGATTCGACGACAGTTACGGTGACGCCTTAGGGGCTGGCCGCTCTGGAAGAGCCTGAGTGAAATATAAAACTGAAAAATTTTTTTTTTCTTAGGAGCAAGATTGGGGGGGGGGGTGTTGCTGCTTTGTTTTGCTTTTGTTTTCGATTTCTCTATTAAATGTGAGTGCTTTGCTATATATACTTTTGTAACCATTGTTTCTGTGATTTTTACAGTATGTTTTTATTTTTTCTGTGTAGATCTGTTTCCTTAAAATTATCGCAGAGTATATAATAGTAAACACATTATGTTACGTTGTTCGGGCGGGTTAGTGTATATTTGAATAACCCGACTTTGCGCCTGAACGCTTGCACACTGGAAGATATTATCTTGGCAAACGTTGCGGAAATTGAGGCGAGCGTCCGAAAGTCGTTCAGTGAAAAGAAGCTGGTCGTCAACATCGGTGGCTGCGCTGCGTGTGGGAAAGGGGATTATTTTTGAACCTGAGTATCGCTGAGTATTTGATTTCTCTTTCAGCTATCGCATCTCACTTTGCAAATATGTTTCCCAACGTTCGCTGGTCATGCTGAACACCTAGCACCAACCGGATGATTTATAAATACACTAAAGTCAACTTTATGCTTCTGATTGGAGGCCAATAGATTAAAACATCGGGCGACGCTCAACAATTAGAGTAGTCTGGGGAGAAATGGAGAGAGCCAATCAGAGTCATGGTAGAGGTATAGGCTATTACATTAACGACAGTTTCCCACAGAACAGAGTGTGAGTTGTAATCATATCGCCGTGCGAACGGCGGTTAGGGTCCCAGTCGTGTAACCTAAGATCTTTGCCAGGCTAACTATCCTATGCCCTCCCTTGGCGCTGAGCGTATAGATGAAATGTACAACACGGCTTCATAGCAGGGCTGAGATAACTTATTGGCCAGGCACCAACGCTATGGAAAACTACGGTCTCCATGCGCTGGATGACGAAGATAAAACGTTGATTGATGGTCTCTGAGCAGACGTTCGCACGCTGTCCAGCCATAAGCACCAGTCCTTCGCAGTAACTGTCAGAAGGCTGGCGATAATTGACTCTCCCTGCATACTTGTTTTTTTTTTTTGGCAATGTTTTCTGTACAGTCGCCAGTACTGATGCACACAGTCAGAGCACATGCGTGCCTCCGTGCTCGCCAATTGTGTCACGTGACAAAACGTGATGTGTATATCTTTACGAGAGTTTCTTCTCTTAAATGCCCTTTAAGCTTCTGGCCTGGAAACAGAAATTGTAAAAAAAAATCACCGCGGTAAAAATCGACTATTAAAAAAGCATTTAAATTGATGATCGTGATCTCCGACTGTTGAATCATGGGATAAAACGTTGAGAGAACCCTAGACGAACAATTTCCCACACGGTATTGTGTATGGTACTGATCCCTTGAGAACAGCGACAACTGGCCACTAGGGAGTTATGTGTCGCCATTTCAGATTCTCCTCTGACGTCACCGCATTGATGGCAATGATTCTTCTTTTTATGACCAATTAAGCCACAAACAGTTCCCACAATATCTTTATTTAATCGCGTTTCTCTCTTAATTGTTTTTCCTGTGCTATTACCATTGTATGCAACGTGCATTTAAATACATTTTTAAGGCAATGGTTTTCAATAAATAACCATAATGCAAAATTAATAAGAAAGTGTAATAAATCCAGAAGTATGCTCCATTTAAAAATGTTTCCATTAACGGGGCCGATGGGAGACTTTACTAGTGAAAACGTAAACTTGGAAAAGTACACGCTCCTTGCAATGATATCCGTTTACTTAAGCACGTCAATGCAATTGTTGGTGAAATTATTCTTGTCAATGTTATTAACGCGTCTATATCTTTGTTTCCTTCTCATATACATATAACTGTTTCGTTCTCTATGTGTGTGTCTCTCTCAGCTGGAACCCCAGCTATCGATATCCATAATCGTTATCACGTGTGA